CGATATCAGCATTTGCATCTTCTGCAGAGAAATGCTCATATATTTATGAACAAAAATCACAAATACGCAGTGAGTTTCGGGAATAGCACGTGTAACAGGATCAAAGCTTCCCTTCCTAATCGGGTATCTCTTTTGCGACACGGACTCTCAACGAATTTGAAGAAGCGTTCGCCTAGACTAATAGTGACTAGCCAGCGTACAAGTTGATGGTTCTAGCTTCTCAGACAGGGCTTCTGCTAACTAAAAGACCACGGAGGGATGGGAGGCTCAAATGACCTGAGCGGGAGTCGATCCGGAGCTTGACGTTTGGACCACACTCGTAGTAGGCTTCCCACTCGTTACACCATATCCGCTCGAGGCATAGTACGTTTGCTCCTAACAAGTATAAAGGTCTGCAATCAGCTTCTGAGCGCTCTACTTTCAAGCGTATCTATAAAGACATTTTAAACTGGACTTCATATGTCTCACACGGCCAGGATCAAGGGCTTTATCACAACCAACACGTGCAGTTCTTCTGTTCTAATTTTAACTTTTCTTCAAACGTCTTCGAAGTGATAAAGCTCATCCAAAAGAGAAAATTCTCATAGACAGCAATTTGTGGCAAGCCGCGCCCTAAAGTCATTTCGCTGCAGAGGCTAGAAAATGTCAGGGTGGAGGATAGGGAGAGGGGGTTTGACGCGGCGACAATCCGTTCTCCACCAATTGTGAAGCGGCAACAATCGCCCAGAACACTGGCTAGGTGCACTCCGTGTTAGGACCACCCCTCCACTCCTGACACTCCCAGCCGGCAGCTGAAACGACTACTAGTCCTTAGTTTTTGCGATCGCTGATAACACAACAAGTCAAAACTTATATCAAAATATCTACATGTGTTGTTCCTGTGCTTGTTCTTCTCTGACACTGAAGTTTTGGAATAGCACATCACTCTCACACTGACCAGAAAAGTTCTTGTTTTTCTGGTGACAGCCTCCGAAACTTAGCTGCGAACAGTTACCCTTAAAGGTGGGCGGGGAAGGGGTGTAAGGGGCGGGGGGAGAGTATGTCTTCAATTGCGGTCGTCAACCATTGATACACCCGTCTTCCCGTGCCTCCACATCCGGAACTCTGGAGATCACATAGGATGGTGTGTACAAGATCGATGATAAAATTATTTTAGGCGTCAAAGATTACCAGGAAATTGAAGCAAGACATAAAAGGTGGTCCCGATTGAAGCGGGTCCAGCATAACCTTCTGTTCCACTTAGGGAAACGGTGGGAGTAGACATGCTGAACGCCAGGTCGTAGGCTGAAGCTAATGATCTTGGGGGAGGGGCATTGGAAAAAATTCTCGCGCGAAAGTGGGTATGAACTTATCCAGATAGATCCCTACGAAGACAAACCAACAACCAACCAGAAGAAATAGGGGGGGCGGGGGCAAACAACTGCCGCCAAACTTTTCGTCGCCAATTCTTTCGAATAGCGTTTCTCCACGTTCTTGAAGAATGGATGCCTCTACACTGTGCCAATTCGCCAAATGCTCAATGGTTCCAGCTATAACCCTTAAATATCCAACAGTCATTTCAACGCGTTTTCGGTCAATACAGCGGTTAGCAGTGTGACTAGTTGACCAAACCCAATTAATACTGGCGTCAGGGACTTCATGGTCACAAAGAAGCTTAGTGGTAAAAACCCTAAGGCTGGCCGTTTATAATTGACGGTGAGCCGACACGTGCGACCACCATGAGCGTTTTTCGAGCTTCCGTCAACGTACAGCGAGGACTAGGAAAGGATAGATACCTACGCAGGGACACATCCTTGAAACGCAATAAATAGCGAACTATATAATATTTACTATTTACTTCATGTGGCGTTCAGCCCCCACTTCAATGTGTTCCCACTCAGATTCTGCTCACTTGCTAAATCTGAGTCAATCAACGGTGTTATGACGACATTTACGGCAACTACTCGTGTTTGTTTATCGGATGTCAGGTTCTTGGTTCCTTTAACGCGTCGAGCCCATCTGTAGTTTCTGCCATGGTCCTTTCCCGGTGTATTTTTTTAGTTTTTATGGGCGCACCTAGAGTGTATGGAAATAATGAATAAATAATAAAATATTAGATCTTTCTAAACGGTGCATCTACCAGCGTCCGGCAGTGACCAGGAGTAGAGGGTATGGGGAAGTAGGAGACCGACTGCTGGTAGAATATGGGGAAGTAAAAGGGAGGAGACAGCTGGATTAGGCGTCGTTGTGGCGCGTTGCAACCGCACCGTACTACTCTACAATACCCATACTTCAGGTCGGTCCGGCGCTAGCTCGATATATTATAACCTTCCTAGTCCCTCAAGACACTAAACGGACACTACTGAACGCTGATACACGCAGCCGCTCGCTGCCTCGAAGCCTATAGTTTCGTAGTCGCTGACGATGACGGACGTTTAAAACGCTGATGGCCGAAGGTGGACGCTGCTGCAAACTGTAAACGCAGCCTAACGTAAAAGAACCTAGGATCATGACAGATAAGGCCTCCATTCAACTTTAGAGCACATTCTACAGCCAAGAGTGTATGTGTCCTCCCTCCCACCCCCCTCTCCCCTCCAATGCCACACCAAATCACAAGGTACGACTTTCAGAACATTCGCAGGGAAAATGAACAAGAAACTTTGTCACCCGTACGCTGGCCATTGTCAAACAGTCCTTTATTTCCACGATTCCTTGAAGAGCAAGACCGCCTTTGTCAACATTTTGTACATCAGCTGTAAGAACCACAAAATTGATAAGATTCATACGTAATCCCAACAATAACAAAGAAGCCGAATCAGCACCTCTACATAACCGCATAGTTTTCATTCCAGGAGAATTAGAAATCAGAAGAATAAAAGCACTCATAATCAAAACAGCAACAAAGGCGATAATAAATTATTCAAAACAAAAGCACCACCACATGTCACCAGACCAGAACAACGCATATCAACGATGGTGCATAGAAACGATGATTAAAATGACAATCCTCCTCATTAAAAATAACACCGACAACTTGGAAGGCAATCAATATCTTGACAATAATCATCTAACATTATGCGATAGAGGCCTGGGCGAATTTCAATGCCAATTCAACTGCTTCGTCTAATCGATCGACATTTTCACAGGTTGCCTAGAATACAACATTTTATAGCTATAAGATTCAGGTGCACTCTAGTTCGCTGCAGATGAAGGGGCGTGTCACGCAGTGTGACTGTGCCACGATTCCTTGAAGAGCAAGACCGCCTTTGTCAACATTTTGTACATCAGCTGTAAAGACCACAAAAAGAACCAAGGACGCAAAAGCTTCTCTCCCAGTTTGTTAGGAGTGGCTATGCGACTACTTTGGTAAGAAAGAAGTAATACGAACGATATATGATACAGCGCTTCAGTGGTGGAGAATCGGTTTGGCACCGCGCCAAACCCATCTCGCCTGACAAATTCCATCGCCCACAGCGAACTAGACTATAGCTCTGGTGATGGCCGGTAAGGGCAGAGGGAGGATTAAAGGAAGCTAGATCTGAAAGCCTACAGCGTATGAACCAGAGCACAATTACCTGAGCATTAGCGTCTTTTCCACCACCACGACCGCCAAGAACCGTGCACACCTCGTTCACCCAGAGATTCGCCTTCAAGCCTCCATCGACAAGAGACTGAAAAATCGCGAAATTCAGAAACTACGTCAGCAGTAAGAAAAATATCCAACATGTGACAGATGGTATGAAATCTCACTTTGTCCACTTTGGCTAGTACAAGGACTTTTCCACTGTCTTCATTGACAGAAAATCCCATAACGGCTTTGGTACTCTTTAGTTGTTTCAAGGCATTGTCTAGCGCCTAAATTTATACCAGTCGTTAAATGTTACTTTTACAAAACAGTAGTAAACAAAAACCAGAACTGAAAAGCCCGAAGTATCCGAAAGGGTGAAAGAGATTCAAAAAATCACCTTACTAGTGGCTCCAGAGGAAAATACATGCACAACTACATCTTGGTTACCGTTCTTCGAGCATCTTTAGCTTCAGAAAGAACCTAAAAACAGTTCGAATTGATCGCTCAGGAGAAGACGAGACGCAGTTCGGTTTGGGGGGTGGAGTACCCAGCTGAGCTTGTACATGCCATGCTGGGAAGACCTGTGAACTCCTGTGCTCAAAGTGGCTCACTCGAACAATTTCACAACTTCTCAGAAGTTTACAGGTCTGAGCAAAGTACCTGGTAGTTAATATGAACCAACTTAATGAACTACCAAAAGGCAAACTGCCCCTCCAAACTGTACGTCGCCGAAGGCACTTGAAGCGGCGCACTATGTCACAGTCAATAACTGAGCAGAATACTGTCAAAAAAACAAAAAAAAACAGACCGAAGAAATTACATCAATCGTAATTCAAAGTTTTCTTCGGAAAATGCACAACACAAAAAAAAACAGTTTACCACCTTCTCAGCAATGGCTGCATCAGCCTGCTTCTTATAACCATCTAAAGTTCTCTGGCAGCCTTTCCTTGCTCGCGGATCTCATCCTTTCTCCAGTAAGGTAGTTGAGCTGCGTTGACCTCCTGAACAGAAAAAAATGAGAACGCTCTCCTGGCTCTCAAAACCTGGCAAACTCGGGAAAGATAGGTACGATTTTCCTTTTTTTAGAGGGCAGAGAAAAGAATCACAAAATCTGTTTATACCGGGAATAACTGACAAACCGAAAATGCTTCTGACATGGCAAAGCACAAAACAAACTGAACATTTACATCTGTAGACCCTGGCCTTTGCCGTGTGTGGTGAATGGGACCGCGGCTGCAATGGGGTGCAACTTCCTCCGTTCAGATGTGCAAGGGGCAGGGCTAGAGGGTAGTGAGGTCCGAAAGCCGTTTCAATACCACGCCCGCGAACAGCCACACTCCTAATCATAGCCAGACGCACTACTTACCTGTGCCCTCTCAATTCACCTTCTCTTCTACCGCTGAGTGCGTGCCTCGCTGCGAGACCTTGGTATCGACTAAACTGCCGTCATTGAGGAGAGCGGGGGCGGAGTATGAAGACGGCATTTGAGTACTACTCCCCTGCAATCCTGTTCCTGTATACTTGTGAGCGGAGAAAGTGGACGCTCCTGCAGCTGCAGACTTATTCGCATGCGAATGGGAAGGACCGCTCTTCGAGGGAGGTGAAAGTACAGTTTGTCTATAACTGATCTAAAAATGCAACAAAAGATGATAAATTGAATCTTACATCTATCAATTCTTGTATTTGCTTTGACGTCGTTTTGAACTTTTATTCGGAAGTACCATGGCTAAATTCGTATTTGCTTTTATTTCATCTGATAGGGCCTGAAAAGCAAACAAAGGATTTACCGCAACTTTTTACAAACAAGCTGAACAAATGCTATGCTGTTGCAGTGAAATTCAAGGAATTACATATTAAAGTTCTGAGTAAAACTTTCAACAACCAGTGAGTCAAGAAAAGGAGAGGCACAAAGTATGTAGAAGAAAGAAATTTCATTGTGAGAACCAAAGAAATGCGGCCTTTTCCCTATCACTCACCTGAGTCCTTGCTGCTAATCTTTCTGCACGATGTAATGCTCTTTCGGCTTCTGGTCCTGACAGTGCTACTATTCGTCGAATTCCTTTAGCAATAGCCTCTTCGGATGAAATCACCATATGCCCAATATGTCCAACGTTGTGAAGATGCCTGTGAAGCCAGAGTTTAGCCCATTTAGCCACTTTTATCCTCTACAAAACCCTCACGTTCCACCACAGAACTCTACAGTTGTCTTCAATCCAGCACCGCTTTTTGGATCAGACAGAAGCTTTTCTACGGGTACCCCAACGCACACCACTCTAACAGGATCAGGGTAATTCTGAAGAAAAACTTATGAATTTCCGGAATTCCCATGTTCAAAAGGGCTAGAACAGCTTACTTCATCGAACATGGCCCTCAGTCCAGTGATTTCACGAGCCTGAGGCAACGGTGCTTCTTTTGCATAGACGGGTTCACGGGTGTCTATGATCGACTGGACTATCTCCTCGGCTTCTTTCACCTGTGTTACAAATATAGAGGAATCAAGTCATTCGTCAATATAAGAAGATCAACAACATCTTAGCCTGCGTTCATACTTTGCGTTAAGCTGAGCGCCGGCGTCCAGCAGAGGAGAGCATGCCGGAAGGCGGACAGTTAGGGGACTGCTGGATCAGCCTCGCTGGAAAGTGCGGATCTGGCACATTCACCGCACCAAACTGGTAAAGCATAGAATTGTGCAATCTTGATGTACGCTGTAGTGCAGTTGTACGGCGCGGTTGCACATGCCGCAATTCCATGACGCCTAACCCAGCAGTCTGTTAAGGCTGCGTTTATACTTTGCGGCAGCGTAGCGTAGCGCTTCCAGCGTACGCCAGCGGCAGTGCCGGGGAGAGGATGCATATCGATCTAGCGTTCCCAGCGTCACCAGCGTTTTGCTGGCGTTTGCAGCGGCAGGGGAGTAGAGACTATGCCGTAAGAGACGCGCAATCGAAGTGTATTGTAGAGACTATGTGGCCGTCAGAGACGCGCAATTGATGTGTTGTAGAGACTATGTGGCCGTCAGAGACGCGCAATCGATGTGTTTTGTACCCTCCAGCTCTCCCATAGTCTCTACTCCCCTGCCGCTGCAAACGCTAGCAAAACGCTGGTGAAACGCTGGAGAAACGCTGGCGTAACGCTGGGAACGCTAGATCGATATGCATCCTCTCCCCGGCACTGCCGCTGGCGTACGCTGGAAGCGCTACGCTACGCTGACGCAAAGTATAAACGCAGTCTGATACTTCTCCATACTCTCCACTTCTGGACGCTGGCGTACACCAGATCGATACTTACACCTCCCCAGTCGCTAGCGCTGGCGCAAGGGATGCAAGCACCATTACCTGCTTGATAGTCATCGCCTGTTTGTTCGTGAAATCAAATCGAAGTCGATCCGGAGCAACTAAAGATCCTTTCTGATCGGAATCGGTCAACACACAACGAAGAGCGTGATTCAGAACATGAGTGGCGGTATGATTTTTCATAATGAGTGCACGACGTTCCTGAAAATAAGTAGCAAACAATGCCTACTTTTCACAATTTTTTCAACTTACTCCATCAAAGACTTGTTCGACTGTGTCTCCTACTTTCAGCACTCCGTTAGTTGAACCCACTAGGACCACATATCCTCCACGAACTTGGCAATTTGTAACGACGAATTCTGTTCCCTGTAATTAGTGTAGAGTGCAACTTTGCTAAAAATGAGGAACGTGAGAGTAGGACTACATGATGTTTTGCGTCAGCATTCTAAGCGTACACCAGCGTTCTCAGCGACTGCCCGCGAAATGCTCAAATGCT